CTGCTGAAGAAGTGACAGAATAATCGCCCACAATAATGGCGACCATGGTGGAGGATCAGAATTCGATTGATATGAATGAGGATAAGGATTCGTCGTAAGTTTCGATGCGGATAAATCGCCGTGTAGCGAGCCACGTTCCCGAATCGTTCGCGAACGGCGGACACGGCGATCCGTCATCCGTCATGTCGTCGCGACACTCGGTGCAGTTTAACCTAAAATTGCACCGTTCGCTCGCGCATCCCAGGGCGGTATTTTTTAACTGTACCGTGCTGTTTCTGTTTTGTAGATTCGACCAGGTCACGCACAATTGGGTGGACATCACTCAAGAGTTCTTCGAGGCGATCACAGGTATTTGATCGACAGACCGATTATGTTACTTTGTTCCGATAATCTTTCGTTTTCCACTCGTCTCGCACTCTCCTTCTTCCTGGGAATTCTGTAACTACCTAGTGCTATGAATACTGAAGCCGCTCGTTTCCTTCTAGATTCTTTCCATCTAGATTCCTTTTTACGCTTTCTGTATTTAAAATAAGATATAGGCGTATTTAATCTTTAAAAGGAAAAAAATGAGAACAAAATAACCGCAAGTAAATATTATCTGATTCTGATCTTTTTCTGAATTATTTATGTATTTTTATAATTTTTCAAAAAAAGTGTCACATCAGGCTTATGCTTAATGATCCATGAAATCAATAATGTTTAAATCTTGATTCTATCTTAATATTGTAATATTTGCGCATACTTTATATATTTTTTTTGCTTTAATAAATTGTCAAACATTGTTGTTAAATAGTGTTTAGATCTGATCACAATTTTTAATAAATATTACTGAATTGCAATTCTTACTTTGTATTAGAGTTTATTTTCTGTTTAATTATTTCTTGATTTTATCTTATTAAAATTATGATATTGACTGATTGAGTAAATATGATATTAATATAAGCAAAAAGATAAAAATATATTCTTAGTAAATACCAAAAGTAATATTGTCATAAATTATAACACATAATAATACATGTCAGAATAGAATTATATTACTTTATAAGAGAATTTCAAGATTAAGCCATTGCAGACTCTTTTTCTAATCTTTATAAGAATCATAGTAGAAAATACCTCTAATTGTAAGATATTAGTAATAGTATATAATTTTATTATTTTCTGAAATGTGCAAGTATATTTGTTTGCATTCTGTATCTAGAGTTGGAACTGGGAGAATTATTACATGATGAACTGTTTGGATTATTCGAAGCCATGTCTGCTATTGAGATGATGGATCCGAAGATGGATGCTGGCATGTTGTGCAATCGGGGGAACAATAAACCTTGCACTTTCACCCAGGCAGTCGACTCAGGCACAATCAAATTAGACAATTTTACACCTGCCGAAATTATAGGAATAATAGATTCCACGTACGCGTGTATAGTATCTTGGCTGGAGGGTCACAGTCTTGCGCAAACTGTTTTCACAAACTTGTACTTGCATCAACCCGCGCAAATACTAGATAAGCCTCTGAAGACCTTCTGTTATGCAGTGTACAAAATAATAGAGATAATTAAGGATTGCATTAATAAAGCTTTGGTATTTGAAGAGGAGGATTTCCAAAGCGTTACTTATGGCTACAGATTACAGCAAGACATTACAGAACAGAAAACTATATCAATGTTGCGAGAAGTGGAGGAAGAACTGCATCGGAAAAGCAGAATAAAACCTGTTGATGTTGAATCTGAGACTGAAGTAAGTTTCTTTATCATTTTTGGTTTTTGTTTTTATTTATTTGGACCACATGTTATTGGATTTTAAGTTTGTATCTTCTTTAAATTTAATAACAATTTTATATCTGCATCTCTTTTTATATATAATCTATTATATTTATCTTTTACTTGCAGTATAATGATGGAATAGCACTTTATGCAAGGATCCGATTCACCAAAATGTTTTATCAAGTGTTAACATTGATGGGCCGAAAACAGCAACTGCAACAGAATTTAAGTGATTGTCAGAGATTATTGTCGAATTGTTCTGATATGCTTCATATTATGATTTTAACAGTGGGTCGTGGCGAAAAAGCTGATGAAGTTTGTAAGTATATAATAGAAAATATATTATGTATTTCTTCTCTATTATAAATTGTTTTCATTTTGGGACCAATTACTTCTAAAAAAAACATATTACTATATCGTTTTATTTTTTTTTAAATATTGTTATTTATATGAAAAGATACGATTCTCGTTTTCTTTAATTATAGCTAATCATCCGAATATTATGGGATTCGATCCTATGGTGAATCAAAGATTGTTGCCACCAACGTTCCCTCGGTATACCAAAATTAAACCGAGAATAGATGCTTTGGAATATTTACTGGAATTAATAAGTAGGTTCAAAATGGTTACAAAAATTACAAATCACACCGGATTTCACGCCGCCCTGGTAATTTATAAAGGATTAGCGTTCTTTATTGATGCAAGGCTCATATGCGAAGTAAATTAATTTCCTTTTAGGACTTTTTCTTAGAATTTTCGCGTCAGAGTCCGTGCATATTGTCTAGGTCTATGCTGCAAATCGTTTATTTGCCTACTACTAACCGTGTGTTTGGTGTGCACAATTTCGTCGACGTGTTAAAAGATGCGGCGCGAAATTTTATTGCGCCACCAGTGTTGATGCCAAAGAGCACATTGCTTCAAAATCACCAGGCTAAGGAGTATGTCGATAGCTTTCTATCGCATTGTGTCAGCTTATTTGGAAGTCTATTACAGCTTAGTGGCCATAATAGGGCAAGGCAAAGAGATAAACTGGCGCATTTATTGGAGGATTTTGCGACACTGCAAGATGAAGTAAGACTCTTGTAGAATTTTTAATTATTTTTATATACTTTAATTAATTTCTTTTAATTGCTTTTTTAAATTGCTATAAATACTTTTTATGTTTTGTTTTTTTTCTGCAATAAGTGTCTATCTCATATTCGCTTTTTTATTCTATTTAGTTTTTAAAAAATTGGAATTTTTTTAACACGAAAGCACTGCAGCAATTTTATTATAAGTAAACTAATTCAATCTAATAATAGTAAAAAATTACAATAATTAAGATTACAATATGCATTTTAGGCGGAGAGAGTCGATGGATATCTGCATACTCTATCTTTAAAAAGTGATACACCAAGACCTCACTTGGCCTGCTTTGGTACCTGGATTTTATACCACACATTACGTGTGATGGTTATGTATCTGTTAAGTGGCTTCGAGCTCGAGTTATATTCGGTGCACGAATACCACTATATCTTTTGGTATCTATATGAATTTCTGTATGGCTGGCTCGTATCTGCGATTACACGAGCCGACACGTTCTTAATGGAGCAGGATGTACACAATGATACGCATAAAGGTAGAGGCGGTAAGAAGAGCTCTAAAAATAAAAAGAAGAAATCGACTCCAAGACCGTACAATCTGGAAATATTAATGTACCAGGCATTGCAAAATATATGTGGCGGATATTATAAAGTAAATTACATGTTTTTAATAGAGTATCAATTAGTCATATTAATCAAGAATATAGAATTCAGTATCTAATATGAAACAACTTTATAAAATTTTCAGGCTTTAGTCGGTTTTCGCATGGATGGAAAAATACCGCTTCCAGAGATGCAATTCGACTCGGAGCGAGTAAGATATGAACACAGATTATTACCATTCTCGTCTTTGTTAACACCACCACCTGTTCATTATCAAGAATTCTTAGATATGACAAATGCCCAAATGCATAAAAGGAATGTAAGTTTAATTCTTAATCAGATCTTTAAACCATGTGTGTTGAAAATTAATGAACAGCTCATAAATTGCACTAAAAACAAATTACATTTTTTGTTCTTATAGGAAAAAGTTACTAGCGAAATGCAGTATATCGCTGGTTGCCGACATTTTCATCAAGCTAGAAATATGTTGGAACGTGCATTATTGCTTTATCCATCAAATAGCTTAATGGAAAACGAAGTAAGCTCATAAAAATATAAGTCTGCAATTGTAAAACTACTTTATAACATTATCTTTATCACATATTTGTTTTTTTTTTGTTTTACAGATCAACAACTTATTGAAAGTAGCAAAGACTAATTTTGTGGTGCTAAAACTATTGGCTGATGGACACAAAAAAGACTCGAAAGAACCGCCGTTGTTCGATTTCTCTTGTCATAGGCATTTTCCTCTGATTAAAATAACCTAAATTACATATCTGTATCAATTATTTTTCCACAATATAAAGAACATGCTATTTATTTCAAATTCTTTTATACAAAAGAGTATCTGTCTTTGATTTGATTTTTTTTAATTTCTGATGTTTCTAAATGATCTTATTTTATATTTTATTATTTTCTTTCATCGTTTCAACATAAATCGTAAATTTGTAAATCTAGAAATCAAGAAATACATTTGATGCTGATTTATATAATTATTATCTTGTACATGCTGGAAGGAAATGATATTTGTGTATATATAAATTCTTTTTTTTTTGTTTCTTTATCTCTACAAGTCATGTTTACCTTAAGAACAGAACTCTAAGAGAGATGATTATTATATTTATAATATTCATTATTACATACAATTATTTAATCGTATTAGTTTTTAAAATTGCAATTGCTAAATTACAAATAGTTGATGTGAGCTGTAAATATATTATGCAATATAGAAAGTGATACAATCTCAAATATAGACACATTTTTTTCGCATACCATTTTAGTGATATAGCTGTGAAAAAATTATTTTGATTTATAGTACTAGAAGAAAACATTTACATTTATTTTTTCCGATATCATATAATCAAAATAATTATGATA